TCTGACCTCACTGTTGATGGCTCTACAATCAAATCACAAGTGAAAGGAGTTGATATGATGATCACTCCTTTAGTATGAGAGCAGGTAGCTGGTCTCCGAGATGAAGGAGTCAAGGTGTCTAAGGGGAACGTATCTGAGCTGCCCAATTTCAACAAAATTCAATTCTTCAGATCTTGCCTCAAAGACAACAATGATTAGGTCAGAATTCTAAATGTAGGGAAAATGAGGCTAGAACAAAGATTGTTGGCTTTCATCATTGCATTGGTGCTAACACCTAGGGGGAGCAACCATGCTCTACTAAATGAAGAAGACTTGGCCCTTATGTACTGCATCCAAAACAACATTCTGGTTAATTGGGTTTATGTGATTAAAGATCACATGATCAAGGCTAAAAGGCTAAGTGACTTCCACTTACCCTATGCTATATTGCTTAACAAATACTTTAAACATTTTGCAGTTGACTTGTCAGGAGAATATGTATATGCTCCAAAAATTTTTAATGAAATTGATGATTCTATACTACGTAAGATGGGGTTCATCAAAGTTGATGGAGAATGGATCTTAAAGGCTAAAGCTAGAATGTTGAAGATAATGATGAAGAGGAATATGATCACACTGAAATCCCATCCCCTCTAGCTGCAGAAGTTCCTCAAACTGCTGAAGAATACACGTCTGCTGATTTTTAAAACATGGAGATCACTCCATATTATGCTCAACCGGATCGAGGAACTCCTCTCTCTCAAATGTCATCCTTGCAAGAGAATCAGCGAAAACATATGCAGATGACATACCAACACTACCAGCACACCAATACTCAATTCTCCAATCTCGGCAACCAAATTATTGATATATACACCAAACTGAAAGATATGCAACTAAATCAAGGAGAATGGGATGGCTGAACAGTCACGGTAAACGGGTCCCTCTTTTTATCACAGTTCTTTTCTTTTGTTCTTCTTTTTTTCTTTTAATTTTTCTAGGTCTGTAATATTTTATTGGCTTCTTACCAGAACACTCTGCACCTTTAATATGTTATGCATGATATATTTTGACTTACTACTCTTTTCTCTATTTTTTTAATAAAGTCAAAGGGGGAGAAATACATATTGAATAAAACTCACTAACATTAAACTGCATCACTAACACAAAAACATCTAGTGACTTCTCTACAAGATTCAAAAAGGAGTTTGTCTTCATCAAATCGGGGGAGACTGATGATGATTGAAGATCTTAAAGATTTGATGAAGTCAAAGGAATTATGGAATAGGAGATGTTGTGTTATGGTCCTTTAGTGAGTCTACATCGATATTGAGTAGGTATAATCATCTAACCAATCCTACAGCATGAGGTTCTATCATTTGAAAAAAATAAAAATGCCTTAAAACATTTTAATATGTTAAAAAGTCTTTTAATCGGTTAATTTGCTCTTAAGTCTTGGATTTAACTGATACATTTATGAATTAATCAATTAAAATCACTTAAAGGAACTTGAAAACACTTCTATCACATTTTTAACCGATACATTTTTGAATTAATCAATTAAAACATGCAAAAACATTTTCTGTCAAGTTTTAATTGATACATCTTCGAATTAATCGATTATTTTCACTTAAGAAGTTTTGGAAAATCTTCTATCAGTATTTTAACTAATATATTTTCGAAATAATCGATTAAAACCACTCAAACCAAGTGAAAACATTTTTCGTTGCAATTTTAATCTATATATCTTCGAATTAATCAATTAATTTCACTTAAGAAATTTTGAAAAACCTTTTGTGAGTATTTTAATTGATATATCTTCAAATTAATCGATTAAAAACATTTAAGAAGTTTTAGAAAACTTATCGCCAAAATTTTAATCGATATAACTTCGAATTAATCGATTAAAAACACTTAAGCAATTTTTGTATCACTGTTTTAATCGATTAAAACTCATTTTTATTAGTTAAAATGCCTTTGGAAGTATTTTAATCGATTAAACCACGTTTTTATCAATTAAAACGCCTCAAAAAAATTTGTAAGAACATTTTAATCGATTAAATGATATTTTTATTAGTTAAAACCATTAAAGTAAAGTTATTTTAATTGATTAAAGAGTGAATTAATCGATTAATCAGATCAGTTAGTTAGAAAAATCTCTATATAAACATATTTGCTTCAACGTTTTAAGATACACACTTTAGAAATCAATCAAGTAATCTTTAGAGATCTTTTCAAGAGAGAAGCGCACCCTTTCCAGTGAGAAATTTTAGAATTCTTTCTTAAGACATTTTTTGTTTTTGCTTGCGAAGAAACTCATTCTGCATATTGGAATTCTGCATCTGCATAACCGATTTGATTATTCTAGTTTCTTCAACTTTTTCAATTCTTTTTAGTTTTTGTATACTCTTGGTGTCCGGAAGATTTGGCACTAGTTCTCGCAACTGGAACTTGATTGTAGGTTAGGTTCAAGAACTGGAATTTAGTTCTTGGTGCAAGTTGAGTGTTTTGTAATTTGATTCTGTAATCAAAATATTTTCAATCTAGTGGAACTCAAACTGGAAATTGGTTGAGAACTAGATGTAGCCCAGTGATTTGGGTGAACCAAGTATAAATCTTGGTGTTTCTTTTCTTCACTCATCACTTATATCTATTTAAGTTTTCTTAGATTAATACTTGATAAGATCTCTTAATCTTTGAAATTGTTAATTTGTATCTCGTAAGTTGCAAAAAAGTTTGTAAAGATCAATTCACTCCCTCCCTCTTGAATTTAAATTTCTTTCATTTTAAATAATTTATTTTTTAAAATGATTTATTTGAATAAGACAATTCAAATTTATTGAATTTTAATTTTCTTGTTTTTGGTAAAGTATTTCAATTACTATCAAATATAAAATTTATCATTACTAGATTTGTGAATTAGGTTTAGCTCACAATACTTGACCCTTATCAACATAGGATGTTGGATCAAGACAAATCATGAAGCTAGATCGAGTCAAGTCTGATTGAAATAAACCAGATTGGTAAAGTTGGGTCTGGTCAAGACAAATTGTACTAGTCGGGAAGATTGGGTCAAATTGGACTAGATTTGATCAAGTAGGCTAGGTTGATAGGTTGAAATAAGTTAGGTTGTGTGTCTCAAGATGAATCAAATCATGTCGAGTCGAGTCGAGTTAGATCGAGATTGGTTGAGTCGGGGTGGGTCAGACTTATTTTGGATAGCTGGGTTGAACCTAATTTGGAAAGGTTGTATGAGGTTATGACAGTCAAGTTGGAATGGGTTGAGTCAAACCAATACAAAATAAACCAGATTGAGAATGATTAGGTCGGGATGGTTCGAATATATTCAAAACGTGTAAGATTGGTTCGAATAGGTTAAGATGGATTGGGTCGAGGCGAGGTCATACTTATCTTAGTCGAAGTAGGTCAACTCATGTTCAAATAGTTAAAATGAATCGAAAATATCTCAATCGAAAGTGAGTAAAAGAGAAAATATAAAGAGACGATACATAAATTTGAAAAAAATATATTTTTTAAAATAAAATTTAGAATTATCTTATTTTAAATAATCAAAATATCCTTATTTGATTTCTAAAATCTCAATTACATTTAAATTTTATATCAAAACAATAATTTTGTATAAAATAAAATATTTTAAATACTTTATTAAAATAAATTATCCTCCTGAATTTAAAACGTAAAACTTCCTAGCTAGTACGCAGAACCCGCAAAAGCTTTGAAACGCTAGTTTGGTCAAAAGAGCCATCCTACTAAATTATCATTACCTTGTTCACATAAAAAAAATAAGTGCGTGCATTCCTCGAGTATATTATGTTACCCTGAAAAGGAGCGCACAATGTTTTGCGATTAATTCTCAGTTAATGTCTTTTGTATGAGAAATATTATTGTTTGAAGCATTCATGTTGATTTTTTAATGCTACGACTAATTAGTAAATTAATATTTGTATGCTTGTATATTTTGCTGATGGTATAATAATGTGGTTTTTTATTTACTTACGTAGAAAACAAGCAACCTTATAATATATAAAGATAAGCGGGAGAGAAAGTTGGAAGTATATGAATATTGTAATGAAGTTATTGACATCTTTCATTTATAGTTTTGAATGAAAACTCCAATTAATAATGAGATCTTTTAATAACAGTAAGATGAAATTAGATGTAGACGAAATATTAAATAATTTTGTTATTATGATAATATTGTATTCTCTTGTCAGTTTTTCTTATTAATGTAGGTTTGTTTATGTTTTAAGTGAGTGTGTACTCATACTTCCTCATCCAATTACGATTTTTGTTAATTTTTCAATATGTTTTTCACTCATTTATATACAAATTTGGATTTAAGAAAATATACAAGTGATTTAAAAAAAAATACATGAGTGCCTCATAACACTAAGTTATATTACTTTAAGACCAAGATGTTACAATTCTATGATATTGATAGAAAAGGCGGCCTCATTTTATACCTTGGCAAAAAGCTACAATTCACAATTTTGAAATATTTGATATAACATCTTAATAAAGTTAATATATAGTTAAAAATAATTCATAACAATAGTCTAATTTTAGGAGTTATTTCTTTGTGTGTGTTTTTTTCTGACAGATTTATGTTTGTATACAACAAATTCGATTTTTATATAATTTCTATTAAGATTTCAACCCTTGGGAAATTGCTTTTTATTTTTACTCTCTTTTTTTTTATATGCAAAGCCTCAATACATATAAGGATTAGGTTGTCGAAATTGTCAAAACAATTCAAAATGGGAAGTTTCTGTCCTAGCCAAAAATGATATTTTGACACTAAAAAATACAAATAAAAACATCATTATTTTGTTGTTTGTTTGTGTGTGTTTGTGAGGTGGGGAGTGGATTTCGGTTACACATGGTGCTCTTGAAGTGCAATTAATTACAGATCTCGTTATTTGTAGGATCTTTGAGAGCACTATATAAAAGAGCTGAAAAACATAACAGCCTCAGACACATTCAAACCTTCAAGCAACAAAATGGTAACCATTGTGGCTTCTCATAATGTCACTCCAAACCAACCAACTCCCACTGATCCTTTATGGCTATCAGATAGTGACCAAATCGGGTTCCTAGCTCACGTACCAAATATCTACATCTACAAAGCAAAACACCACGGCAATCTCATTGAGAGGATGAAGAACTCTCTTAGCAAGACTTTAGTTCACTACTATCCAGCAGCTGGCAGATTGAGATTGACAAAAGGGGATCGAATGGAAGTGGATTGCAATGCAAAGGGAGTCACATTACTTGAAGCCGAAAGCTCAAAGACATTTGGTGAATATGGAGACTTTTCACCTTCGGATTCAACAGAGGAACTTGTTCCCAAAGTTGATTACACTCAACCTATAGAGGAGATTCCACTACTGCTACTTCAGTTAACAAGGTTCCATGGTGGTGAAGGACTTGCCCTTGGAGTTGTTATCTCTCACCCTTTGACCGATGCGACCGGCATAATGCGCTTAATAAACCATTGGGCAAAGGTGAATCGAGGAGAAGAACTAGAACCTACTGAAATTCCATTTCTAGATCGATCAGGGTTCAAAATACCACCGCAACATTCATCACCAAGTGTTAAACTCCCAGAGTGGAAGCCTGTGCCACAAACAGCACAAACAGAGAAGAAGGAGAGAAGTGCTTCGTTGTTGAAACTCACATCAAGCCAGGTGGAGAGGCTAAAGAAGAAAGCTAATGAAAAACCTTCAAAAGAAGGGGCAAGACCTTACAGCAGATTTGAAGTTGTTGCTGCTCATATATGGAGATGTGCAGCCAAGGCTCGTGAATCTGGTGAGAACCACCCAACTTTTGTTCGGTTTAGTGTTAATATTCGCAGTAGATTGAATCCACCTCTTCCTCAGAACTATTTTGGGAATGCTTTGGCCAAAGGAGTGACACCAAAATGTTATGAGAGCGATATCATAGCAAACCCTTTAGGTTTTGCTGCTGGAAAGATAAGGGAAGCAGCTCATGCGGTTACGGATGAGTTCATAAGGTCACAATTAAAGGCTAGTTTAGGGCAAGGGCAACAGGATCACATAAGGGCCTTTTTCAAGGGACAAGGACACCTTATGAATATCCCTTATGCTGGAAATCATAACATTCTGCTAACAAGCTTGACCACCATGCCAGTGTATGAAGCAGACTTTGGTTGGGGAAAGCCTATTTATTTTGGTTTACCAAGAGTCACTCAAGAAGATAGAGCATCAATTGTTCGAAGCCCAGATGGGGATGGTGTCGTAGTCACCATATTCTTCCAGACAGCACTTATGCAGCTTTATAAAAAATTCTTCTACGAGGATTTGTTTGTCTCATCGTTATAACTCTTGCAACTATGGAATATCTTGTTGATCTTGTTTCTGGAACATCTACTACGCTTATTTGTTTTCTACTGTATGTTTCTTTTAACAGGAAACTGGCGTTAGGAAATTTTGAATCCAAGCCTCTTTTTTTTCTTTTTTTTTCTGAACTTTGGAAACCTTAAGCCATTGGAAGATTGTTAAGGGTTTCTTTGAATTTCAATTCTCTTCTCTAAGAACAGGGGATGTGTTCTTCCTATGGGCTACATTGTTTTAATTCTGTCAAATATTTATTTTATATTTGATGAATGAATCTAAACCAATAATAAATATGTGGTTTGCATGTGATTTTCTTTATTAATAAATATACATGAGAGCTACACTTTCATGATGAATATAAATAATGGGTGTCAATAAAGTATTCTGCATAGGGTTTAAACCTTCCTGTCTGTAACAAAAAAAAAAAAAAAAATATATATATATATATATATTAGGAGTTAATAAAATAAGGATCGATTGTCCCCAATGTGTGCAATTTTTGTATTCCCTGTGTATAACTTTTTAAATTTGTTTAAAATTTTGCAATTATATTATTATTTTTATTTTTATTTTTATTTTTCTTTCCATGTGATGAAGTTAGAATAACAAACTTGACTAGCACTAAGATAATAAAATGTAAAATTATTTAATAGTTATTTATTTTGTCTTTTAAAATTTAACTTGTTCATATATAAGTTTGATATATAGTCAACATCTAACTTTCATTTTCATGATGTGTTTTTTATTGAAATTTTTTCTTCAATGACACACGTTTATTTTTTAATTACTCAAATAGCACTCTAGGTTTTATTTACTTACATAGCACAATTTTTTTTAGTTAAAAATTTGATTCTCTAATATACGAAACTTGAACGTTACTATATTTTTTATTTTTTTCAAACCATTTAGAATTCGATTGTCCGGCAAACGAACTTTGAATAGTTTTTTTATTTATTTTGTTAAGAAAGAAAAACTAATATATATATATATATATATATATATATATATATAATATTATAATATTTTATTTAATATTTATAGTTTTAAATTATATATTTAAAAAGATTTGTATATTTCTAAAATTAATAATATATTTAGATTTATTGTTGAAAGTAGTAAAATAATATTTTTAAAATATATTATTAAATATTATATTTATATTTTATTTTATGGTTAATTTTTTTTAATTCTTTGATTTATTTGATATTGTAATATATTTTTTAGAAATTAATAATAAATTAGGAGGATAATAAAAATCTTAAAAATTATATGTATATAAGATGAAATAATATTTTGATGTAAAATTATATTTTTGAAATGTATATTTTTTGGTGTTTTGTAATATTTTAGAAGAAGATATATATATATATATATATATATATATATATATTATAAAAATAAAAATAAGTTATATTTTGGAATATATATTAAATATAATTTATTTTTACGTAGATAATTATTATTTTAATTTATGCAATATATATATATATAATAATTAATTTGAAATTTATATATGTAATTTTAATTTATGCAATATATATATAATATATATATATATATATATATATAATTATAATATATATAATTTATTTAATATTAAAAATAGTTATATTTTTAATGATTTTATAATTATAATTTTTTTAAAGTTATAATTCTAAATATAATTTTTTTTACTTTATAATTATAATTTATATAATTTATAAATAAATTTTTTTAATGTTAGTTTAATATATATTTTTATTTATAATGATTTAATTTATATTTTAAAAATTAATCGATTATAATCAATTATTTGAAAAAGTAATTCATTATTTTAAAAACTAATAGAGTATACTTAATTATTTAAAAGAATAATCAATTATTTGAAAAATTAATCGATCATAATAACTTAAAATTAATCGATTAATTTTTTAAATATACATTAATTAAATATATATATATATATAATATTATAATGTTTTATTTAAAATTTATAATTTTAAATATAGTTTTAAAAAAATTATATATTTATTAGATTAATAATATATTTAGATTTATTGTTGAAAGTAGTAAAATAATATTTTTAAAATATATTATTAAATATTATATTTAAATTTATTTGTATGATTAAATATTTTTTAATTTTTTTGATTTATTTGATATTATAATTTTTTTTAGAAATTAATAATAAATTAGGAGGATAATAAAAATCTTAAAAAATTATATGTATATAAGAAAAAATAATATTTTGATGTAAAATTATATATATATATATATATATATAAATGAAAATAAGTTATATTTTGGAATATATATTTTATATTATAGAAATTAATATAAATTATGTTTTAGAATATATATATATATATATATATATATATATATTCTAAAATATAATTTATTTTAGTTTCTATAATATAAAATATATATTCCAAAATATAAATTATTTTCATTTCTATAATATAAATATATATATATATATATATATATTAAATATAAATTATTTTCAAGTTGATAATTATTATTCTAATTTATGCAAAAAATATATATAATTAATTTAAAGTTTTTAATTTAAGTAATATATATATAATTTATATAATATATATAATTTATTTAACTTTAAAAATAGTTATATTTTTATTAACTTTATAATTATAATTTTTTTTAAGTTATAATTCTAAATATGATTTTTTTAATTTTATAATTATAATTTTTATAATATATAATTTATAAATAATTATTTTTTAATTTTAATTTAATATATATTTGTATTTATAATTTTTTAATATATATTTGAGAAATTAATCAATTATAATCTATTATTTGAAAAAATAATCAATTCTAATCAATTATTTAAAAAGTAATAGATTAAAATTAATTATTTAAAAAAATTATCAATTATAATCGATTATTAGAAAAAGTAATCGATTATAATCGATTATTTAAAAATTTAATCGATCATAATGAAATAATTAAAAAAATTAATGGATTTAAAATTCGCTGCACGAAAAATTTCTTCAATTTGTTCGCAATCGAATTCTCACTATATATTTTTATAAGAAAGAAAAACTAATATATATATATATATATATATATATATATATATCTAAAATATAATTTATTTTAATTTTACATAAAAATATTATTTCTTTTTATATACATTTTCCTCCTAATTTATTATTAATTTCTAAAAAAAATATTACAATATTAAATAAATTAAAAAATTAAAAAGAATTTAATCATACAAATAAAAATTATATTTTACTACTTTCAACCATAAATCTAAATATATTATTAATCTAATAAATATATAAATCTTTTTAAATTTTATATAAAACATTATAATATTATATATATATATATTACTTAATATAAATTTAAAAATTTAAAAAAAAATTATTTAATTTTTAATTACTCAATTGTGATCGATTAATTTTTAAAATAATCAATTACTTTTTCAACAAATTGAGTATAATCTATTAATTTTTTAAATAATATAATCGATTATTTGTTGAACTTGTTGACTTTCTATATTTGTAAGTTCAATGCTTCTTTGGCTTTTCCGTGTTCAGGCTATCTTTTCTGAAATTCTCTTGGATGGCATTCATTTTTCTTTAATAACTTTCTAGACAGCTATTCTTCTAAGCTTGTCCCTCCCTGTGTTGTATGACAAGTACCAGGACCAAGTTGATGACAGACTGTGTTACATATGGGACTATTCAGACTCAGTATAAAAAAATTCACAGTATTGTTTTAAGCAAGATTCCAAAACTCTCAAACAAAGAAAAGAATTCTATATATTTACATGTATTTTTTGTGCGAATAATCACTGAAAAGCATTTCTTAGCTATGTTTGTGGGCAATTTGTCTACTGAATGACTAAATGTCCATGACTCTACTGTTACTATTAATGCAACTTATTGTAGTTCTGCCTGTGGAAGAGTTTTCATACCTATTTGTGTCTTCAGCGGAAAACTTTTGGTTTAGAAGCTCTCTACTTAACATTTTTATTTGCATCTCTCTACTCTAAGACAAAATACTTTTTTTTTTATGACATCTCTATACTTAAGACAGCTCAAAGTCAACAAAATACCATTTGCATATACATCTTAACACTACTATTTACTTCTAATGGGTGGTGTTCTTCCGTGTTAGCTTTTGGTGAATTTCCATGTCAATTAAAAAGTCATCGTAGAAGTTATATGCCGTGAAGCTGAAATAAATAGTCATAAGTGATTGCAGAGAGGTGTAAAAAGCCTGCAGAAAGGGTATATTTTACTGGATAGATGTTGTAATTCATAAAAATGTGAAATTTTATTTTCTGGTAGTTATATCATATTTGTGCAAATTCTACTTGTTTTTATATGGAGAACCTTTTTTGTTTAACTTTTTCGACAAATAATTCTAATATTTATTTATGAGCTATATAAATTATACCTTCGATCTATAGAAAAAATCATTTAAATAGTTTGGTTAATTTTTTCCATTTGAAATTCAGGGTGCAAAAATGGATGAGTGAAGTTAGGAGTGTACGATGAGGTGCTTGAGGTTTGAAATTTCTTTTTGCTCGGATGCTATCGCTCTGTTGATTGATGGTTAGATGGTATGTTTATTCTTCAGAATCAGGATTGACCAATAGCTTTGACGTCAATCAGAATAATTAATAATTTTTAGTAGAATTTTTTTTAAATCAATAATAATTTTTCTCTCATATATAATATTAATATATAAATTTTCAATAACACATTCCTACGTTTTATCGTTTTAAAAAGTACTAAAAGTAAATATTCATAATTACATATAGATAAAATACTAGTACAGTCTTTCAAAATATTAAGGACAACATTAGAGATACTTCCTACAAAGTAGTTAACTATACAAAAGAGTGACTACTACCCAGTACCATGTAGGTCTATATACTACAAAAGATTGTCTATAAAAGTTTGGATATGTTTATCTCAATACATATTGTCATCATTGTGTCTCCCAGCTAATGAGTATGAGTG